CATCAAATCATAAGCTGCAAGAGGGTAGGGTTCTATCTCTTTTGTTTATTGTTCTATGCCCAATGACCAGCACAGTCAGTCAGGCTAGGCACTCAGTAAGTTATCTACTGAAGTATTCAAATATTCACCAGATAAAACCATTTCTGCAGTATTTTTCAAATAATGTTAATAAGACCAAAACCAGAGGCTAAATTACGACCAACGCACAGTAATGAAAGCTCTAATGCAGGTTTTCTCAACCACGGAGCTACTGACATTTCAGGCAGACTAACACTTTGTTGTACAAGCTATTCTGTTCATGGTAGGATGTTTAGCAGCATCCCTGGCTTCTAGACACTATACAACAGCAGCACGACCACACCTAGGTGTGACAACCCAAAATGTCTGTACACAATGCCAAATGTCCCTTCTGAAAACCTCCCTTCTCTTTAATGGTATCTAAAAGGTAACTGGATAAGCATTCTCTATTAATCTAGAGTACACCTTTGCTGAACCCAGGTATGTAAAAAGTGTCCTTGATTTAAGACTTTATGACACATAGTGTAGTTTTTTTTATTCTGTAGTTAGATTTGTAATTTTAGATGCCAAACACTTGAATTACAAAGTTTTTCAACTACGGCCCATGCATCATGTGACTCTTTCATCTTAAAATGTACTAATTAATACTAATCTCTGTTTGGTCCCAAAGAATGGTAACAAGTCACATAAAAGTGTTCAAAATAATAATGATGTAAAAATTTTTTGAATAAGGTATTTTTCCAACTGACAGCTCCACAGTAATACTCTGCTCACACACTCGGCTAAACATAAAGTGGCTAACACTGTGACAACAGAATTCCTGTATCTTTCACAATTACTTCCTACAAAATAGATATGGAAAACACTGTTTTGAATACACCACCCTCTATTCCACGGATACTAATTTTAACTATATAATGAAATATCTAACAAGGCATTAAGAAAAACAGACATCACAAAACAGGAAGGAATTGGGCTTTCTGTATAGTTAGTTCATAAAACCATAAACCTAAAGAGCCAATCATCATATGCAAGGACACTGAAATGCACAGTACTCCAAAAAGAATGAGATATACTTTGACTGTGATGCTAACAATAATTACAAAGTAATATAATGTCCAGAGTGGCAAAGTCTATGCAACTATGTAATAAAAAAATTCTTTTCTGGAAAAAAGTGCATCAAATAGTAAGGTAGAAGAGATTGAGCTATTCTACTCCAAAATAACCTGGATAATCATGCCTAAGTGTTACTGCATATATATATATATATATTATATATATTTTTTTTTTTTTTACTGCACATATATTGACCATCAAGTCAATCATGACTCAGAGTGATCCTATGAACAACTGATCTGAGCCCTGTCCTATCCTGTACCATCCTCAAAATCTCTGACACACTCAAGCCCATTTTTGTAATCACTGTGTCAGTCCATCTGGATGAGAATATCCCTCTCTTTTGCTGCACCTCTACCTTTCCATGCATCAAGGAATAAAACTCCTCCTAGCAACATGTACAAAGTTTATGAGATGAAGTTTCATCATTTTCACCTCCAAGGAGCATTCTGGCTGCACCTTATCCAAGACATATCATTAGCGGTCGTGGGATCTTTAGCGCTTTTCTTTTTTCTTTTGTTTAGCGCTTTTCTTCAACCTATAACTCAAAGGCTTTAATTCTTCTTCTGTCATCCTTAGTCAATATCCAGCTCTCAGATATATAGCAAGTGGCTGAAAAGATATGGCCTGAATCAGGTGCACCTTTGTCCTCAAATTAACATTATACCTCAATAATTTGGAGGTCCACAACTGCAGACTTTCCAAAGGCAATATGTCTTCTGATCTACTCAATGCTACTACCAAGTATATTGACTCTGGATCCAAGGAAGATGAATTCACTGACAGTCTCAATCCCTTCTCTGTCCATTATGATGTTGTCTATTGGTCCAGAGGTAAGGATTTTTGTTTTCTTTATGTTAAGATGCAATTTACAATGAAGGCTGCAGCATGAGGTTCGAGTTCTCACTGTCAGCAAGCAAGGTTGTGTTATCTACATAATGCAAGTTACTGATGAGTCTTCTGACAATTCTGACACCATATTTTCTTTAGAGTCCAGCTTCTTGAATAATTTGCTTAGTATACAGAATAAATAGGTATGGAGAAAGGATATAACCCTGACACACACATTTCCTAACTTTAAGTCAAGTAGTATTCCCTTGTTCTGTTCATAAAACAGCCTCTTGGTCAAGATATGTTTCATACAAGCACAATCAAGTGTACTGGAATTCCGATTCTTCATCATAATTTGTTATGAGCCACACAATCAAATGCCTTTGCATAGTCAATAAAGAACAAGTAGACATTCTTCTGGTATTCTTTGCTTTCAGCCAAGATCCATCTGACATCACCAATTATATTTCTGGTGCCATGGCTTTTTCTAAATATAGTTTGAATGTCTGTCAGTTCTCCAAGTACTGTTCCAGCCATTTTTTTAATGCTCTTCAGCAGTATTTTGCTTTCAGGCTATATCCACATTCTACTGGATCACCACCATTCCTGGGAATGGGAACAAACATTGATCTCGTCCAGTCAGCCAGCTGTCCTCCAAATTTCCTGGTACAGACTGGTGAGCACATCAAGGGCTACAACTGTCATTTAAAACATTCAAGTATTCCATCTATTCCTGGAACCTTATTTTTTTGTCAATGCCTCAATGTTGCTTGAATTTCTATTTTTGCTATTACTAGCTCTTAATCATATGGTTGATTGGTTGCTATGTGCCACTGAGAAGCGACCTAATGTACAAGAGCCCTAAACCCTGCTCTATCCTGTGCCAACCTCATCATTTCCAACACACTCTCACTATGCCAATCAAAGAATTGATCCATCTCATCGAGGGTATTTCTTGAAATATTTCAGGGTTGACCAATTAGTATAGGTACATGACTCTGTGTATTCCTCTCCATCTTCTTTTGATATTTCCTGGTTCATCCAAAATTTTGCTCATAGTATCCCTAAGTACTGCAACTCAAGGCTTGAAATTATATTTCAGCTCCTTCAGCCTGAGAAATGCCGTGGGATTTCTTCCCTTTGTATTCTCAATTCTAGGTCTCTGTATATTCCATTATAAATGTTTGCTTTGTTTTTCAGAGCTGTCCTTTGTCTTATGTTCAGCTCTTTTACATCAGCATCTCTTCCCTTTGTTTTAGCTTCTTGAAGCTCTAGCATGACTTTCAGGGTCTCTTCTGAAATCCATTTTGGCCTTTTACTTCTCCTCTGACTTTTTTTTAGTGAACTTTAGCTCTCTTCATGAACAATGTCCTTATTTTCCTCTCACAACTCATCTGGTCTATCACTGCCATTCAATGCTTCAAACCTATTAAGATGATTTTTAAATTGAGGTGGAATATGTTCAAGATCATATCTTGGTTCTCGTGGACTTGTTACACTTTCTTCAGCTTCAATTTGAACTTGCACATGAGTAATTGATGGTCTGTACTACAGTCAGCACCTGGTCCAGTTCTGATTCCTGACAGTGAGCTTCTCCAAAGATTTCTTCCACAGATGTAGTAAATCTGATCCCAATGATTACTTTATAATACTATTATCTCTCATGATTAAAAACTTAATCCTTAAAAGGACTCAGTATCCACTGACAACATAAAGAATAAACATTATGAAGTAGAGTCATACATTGTCATAAACCAAAAGGAAAACAAACTATTGCAGAAAATACTAACAAATGTTAGAAGCTGTGTAAAGAAAGCAAGAAGCTAGACACAAAATAATACTTGTATCCCTCTCCTATTTATATTCATTTTAAAAACAGGCAACATTAAAGCACACTTTTCAGGAAGGCAAATGTAGGCAGTCAATAGAGGAAAGCCAACCATGACTATAAAGATCAGAAGAGTGATTCCTTCTCCATAACAGGAAGAGAACTGTGACTAAGGAAAGACAACGGGGTGGGTTGCTTTTTTTCTATATTTTAACTTACGGATGATTACAAAGCTGTGTATTATGTAAGTCTGTGTTACACTATACTTACAACTTTATTTTCTGTATATGTTAAATCTCACAATGTAAGTGGTCATAAAAGTAAGGTCTGTATGATTAATATGTATGATAAGCAGTAATCTGAATAAAAGCAAATACAACATACACGACTTTTGCTTCTAAATGCTCAGAAAATCTCCCCAGGATGACGATTGATCACCTGTGGGGAGGTGGTATAGCACCAGGTGTGTGGGTAAAGGAAGGAGACAATCTTTACAATATACTCTATAATAACCTTGATTGCTGAAAGTGAAAAGGATTTGAAGATCAAAAACTATTACTGTGATATCATTTTGGAGACTAAATTGTTCCTGAACCAACCAATGGTATTTTTTAATCAACATATATGGATGTGAAAGATGGGATAATGAACAAAGAAGACCCAAGAATGGACACATTCACTTTATGGTGTTGGCAAAGGATACGGAATATACCTAGGCTGCCAGAAGAAGGAACAAATAGGCCTTAGAAAGTACAACTAGAATGTTTCTGAAAAAGCAAGAATGGCATGACTTCTTCTCATGTACTTTGGATGTATTATCAGAAGGACTAATCACTGGAGAAGAGCTTGGCAAAGTAGAGGGGTCAGGGGGAAAATAGAAAGCCTTCAACAAGATGGGATTTACCATAAAGGGCTCAAACAGAGCAAGGACAGTGAAGGTGGTTCAAATCTAGGAAGTGCTGTGTCTTGCTGTACATGGGATTGTTACAAGTCACAACCAATGCAATAGCACTTAACATCAATGCTCATTTAAAAAGTATAAAGTCATGAAATACTTGCCATTTCAGAATAAATTATCATAAACTACTGTGTCTTTTTAAAATATAACCATTTTGTCATTTATCAAATTACATACAGAAAAATTACCTTATTTCTTATTTTGAAATCTTACCAATAACTGTTGATTTTTATTTCTGTTAACACTTACCATCCACTCAGATATAATAACATCCACTTTTTCAACAGGAAGTTGAACTTCTTCAATCTTTCCTTTAATTAGTATAACAGTATCTTCTAGTTTGTTTAGCCTGAAAATTATCATAATAAGTTTAATTAGTATGTTAAATAGGTTCCAAGAGGTAGTTAAGTTACATAATTCCTTGCCAACTATTCATACTCTTCTATGAAACTCAAAAACGCATTCAATTTTTTTTTTTTAATTCATTAACTCCTTGGCTTCACAAGAATGATACTGACTACAAAACACTGAAACAGTATTAAAACTTCAGCCTGAATATACATCTGAATTAATGTAGTTTTTTTTTTAAACCCTATTGCCTACTTTCTTTTCGGAGAATGATATAGGAAGCAGCATATTGGTTTGAGAAGCAATAATAGCAACAATTTTATCAAGGATGGAAATGAATAAAGGTACTGTATTTAACAAAAATTGAAAAAGAGAAGACAGATTTTATTCAAACACAAAAAAATTATAGGTTAAATAAAAGCAGTGTGTCATGGTGGAGAGATTTAGTTCCTCTAACACTTAACCACTAAGTGAACAATTATTTAATAACCTGAGTCTGTATGCTCACATGTAACAGCACTGTAACATCACTTCTTTAACAGATCAAAGGCTACTCAGATTTTCCAGTTCAGCTACGGTCATGTATACTGTTGAGTAAGGATGGAGGCTCAAATCCTGCCAATGATATAATGAAAGAAGTCCTTGGCAATCTATTTCCAAAAATACAGCCACTGAAATCCTGCTGGAAACTAGACAGTGCATGGTTACCAGTATTATAAACTTTTATTAATATTTTCTAAAAGAATTGTGATCAAAAAGGAGAAAAGACAGAATTTCACATTCTCATGGATGATAGATGGTCATTTTAGATCCAGGGAGGGTGGAGGGACCTAAGCTACTGCTCCGAGATGATCTTTAAACCTTGATACAAATTTTTTTCCAGAGGTCTTCTTAAAATACAGGAATAACTAATAAAAAATGCTTTACTATGAGCATTGCAGTCTCATTAAAGCTACTGAAAGGGGATCAAAACTGACAAAAGCAATTTAAAAGGTTAGGTGTGAATCTAAGTGCCATCAAGTCAAGTAAGACTCATAGCAACCCTAAGAACAGTGGATCTGAACCCTGCCCTATCCTGTGCCTTCTTGACCATTTCTGACATGCTCAAGGCCACCATTACAGTCACTGTGTCAATCCACCGCATTGAAGGTCTTCCTCTCCTTCTCTGACCCTCTACCTTTCAAAGTATGATATCTCTTTCAAAGGACTGGCCCCTCCTATCAACATGTCCAAAGTGTGAGAGATGATGTTTCACCATCCTGTCCTCCAAAGAAAACCTTGGCTGCATCTTTTCCAAGACATGCCTGTCATTTTTGCAATCTAGGCGCTATTCAGTCCTCTTCTCTAAGATACAACTCAAAAGCATAGATTGTCCTTCTATCATCCTTCCTCACTAACTTACAGATGCGTAACAAGTAACTAACAGTAGACTTTTCCAGTGCAGTATGTCTTTTGATTTCCTGGCTGCTGATGCCAAGGATATTGATTGTGGACCCAAGCAAGATGAACTGACAATTTCTAGTTCTTCTCAATCTCTCATCATATTGCCTAATGGCCCAATGAGAGAATTTTTGTTTCATTGATGTTGAGAAGTGATTCATATTGAAAGCTGTAGTGGCAAGTGCTTCAACTCTTCCTCTCTTTCAGAGAGCAAAACTGTGTCATCTGTCTAACAGCAGTTGCTGATGAGACTTCCACCAATCCTGACGCCACATTCTTCTTCTTCATACAGAGTGAATACGTATAAAGAAGAGATAAGAGGCCTGACACACATCTTTCTAAAATTTAAACAATGCAGTGTCCCCTTGTGCTATGTGTACTACAGCTTCTGGGTCTAGGCATAAATTTCACAAGAGCAAAATTAAGTGTTCTGTATTCCCATTCTTATCAGTGTCAGCCATTTTGCTATGATCTACACAGTCAAATGCCTTTCGATATTCAATGAAACACAAGTTTCTATTAATAAGGGAGGAAAACTCAGAAAAGTAGGGAAAGGACAGTTGTACAATCTGAAGAGTGCAATCAATTTTACTTAATTACATAGTGTCCATGGACAAACTCCAGAATTGGTATATAATTCGCTGTATAGTCATTGTATCGAAAAGAATTGGCAGACACAGAAGAATTTAATGAAACAACATATGAGCAAGAGCCTATGGTGATGAAGGAAGAAGATCAAGCTGCTTTGAAGGAAAGAGCAAAAAATAAGGTGCCAGGAATAGATGGTATACCAAATAACATATTTCAGCTAACAGATACTGCTCTGGATGTGCTCACCAAGTTGTGCCAAGAAATCTGGAGAACAACCACCTGGCCAACTGAGTGGAAGAGATCTGTATTTGTTCCCGCCCAAAGAAGGGTGACACAACAGAGTGTGGAAACTATAGAACA